TCCAACTCCTGGGCTCAAGCAAGTCTCCTGCCTCCGCCTCCCAAGTAGCTGGGACCACAGGCGCCCGCCACAACACCTGGCTATTTTTTGGTTGCAGCCGTCATTGTTGTTTGGCGGGTCCGGGCTGGGGATTAGAACCCGCCACCTTAGGTGTATGTGGCTGGCGCCTTAGCCACTTGAGCCACAGGTGCCGAGCCACCTACCTGTATTTTGAGGTGAAATTCATGACATATAAGTAATTCCTGTGACATCCACAAGTCAGTGGCATTTAGCCCACGTACAATGCTGTACACCTACCACTTCTATCTAGTTCCAGAACATTCTCTCTACACCAAAGGGAAACCCTGTCTTCATCAAACAGTCCCTCCCCACCCCCTTCCCCAGGCTCTGGCACCCACTAATCTGCTTCCTGTCTCTATGGATTTGTCTGTTATGGACATTTCCTAGAAATGGGAACACTCACTATATGGCCTTCTGTTAGTAGTCTCTTCCTGACCATAAAGCATCTGATCCCTGCACACCCTGGCCTGTGTTAAGTGCTACTCCATTGTGTGGAGTAGCCGGGCCTGCTGCACTGAGGCTCATCCCTAGCACACCCCCACACATGCATCCATACAACCTGCTCTGGGCAGAATTTAATGCGGTTTCTACATTGCTGAAGGCTCTTGTGACCTCCAGGGTAAGCACAGGCTCTCCTTGGTGTGGCCTGCATGGCCTGCCAGCCTGGCCCCTCCCTACCCCTGCATTCAGCATCTTGCTCCTGATTCACTCCTGAGCCCTTGCACGAGCAGGTCCCTTTTCCTAGAAGGCACAGAAGCAGTGATCCCCCACACCCCTATTTGGCTGGCTTTCCCCTGTTCCTTTCTCAAAGCTGCTCATGCAGGGACCAGGTGGCATACCCTCCCCTAGCCCTGGACTCATAGTCCTATTTGAGCACAGCATTTCTGTGCAGTGGTCACAAGTTTTGCTTCCTCATCGCCATGTGAAACCCAAGCACACTTAGCTTCTGACGACATGTCTTTGGATAGGGTAGCGGGTGGCTGAAGTGATCTGTCCCCCTAAGGGGCTTAGCAGGCAGGCCCATTCCTTTCCCAAATTTACCCTTTTCCCCATAGGCAACCCACTTCCTGCTCCAGACACTGAGGCAGAGTTGCATTTTCCACGCAAGGTTTTACTGAGGGGGCTGAGGGCCCGGGAAAGGCACACGGTGGCAGTGGGGTCTCCCTCCCAGTCGGGGCTGGCTCTGCAGAGACAGTTGCCCGGCTGACCCCTCTTTGGCACTGAGCTGGGAACATCCCTCTTGCTCCCGGCTGGCAAGCAGAGGCCCGTGCCTCCCAGTGGTGGCTGGCAGTGTAGGCTGGTGGGGTGACTGGCTGCCCAGGGGTTGGGTTTGGCGTTGGTGGAAGCCAAAGCTCTGGGACTCAGAAGCCGGGGTGCCTCCCCTGCTGGCAGGAACTCACATTGGCAATCGAGATGGCTACAACAGGAATCCAATAAATTAGGCTGCAGACAGGGAGAGGGCTGGGGCTGTTAGAGCCTTCAGTGGGGGATGCCGTGTCCTTCTTTGTGAGGGTGTTTTGGGACTACTGGCAGGAGAAGAGGATACAGACAAGGGGTTCCGTCTCACTGGGTGTACCATCTGGTTGCTTCTAGGAAGGGCATCCCCTGGGACAGGAGCCTAAGCTGGCCATCCTGAGGGGATAGGCCATATAGTCTTGGAGGGACTGAAGAGGAGGGAAAAGTGGGGATGTAAGTCTTAGTTGGGAGGTGGCTCAGCATAGACTCTAGCTGGTGGTGGTGAGCGGTGGCCCCGGGGGTCCTTGCTTACTCCCTAGCACTCAGCTGCACTGGCATGGGGTCAGTGTGAGGCCACTCTTAGCCCCAAGCTCCTTCCCCAGAGAAAAGTAAAGGACTCGCTGCCTTGAAAGGGCATAGTTATCGTGGTTCAGCCCCAAGGTGAGGGCAGGGCATGCAGGGACTGGCAAGACAGGCGCTGCTCTTTCCTTCATGTGTTCTGGGAGACTGGGAGGGCCAAGGGCTGAGGGCTGACTGCAGGGCCCTCTGTCAGGAGGAAGCACCCTGAAGGCCACTACCTGGGCCTTGGGGCCTCAGCACCGGAGGCTGCCCCGGGGCCACAGCCTCGCCTAGGATCTGCCGGAGCTCCTGGAGGCGCTGCTGTATCTTGGGGATCCCTGCCAGCTGCTGCTCTAGCCGCTGCTTCTCCTCTGTCAGGCTCAGGCGTGCGGCTGAGTCCAGCTTCTCAAACTTCCAGCCGCCCTGCCCATCGAACTGCAGCAAGTGTGTGTGGTACTTCCTGGCCGGAAGAGGAGGGGATGGAGGCAGGCAGAGGTGCTGAGCAGGTGCCGTCCCTCCCTGGGATGGCAGGCTCTCCCACCTCCAGGCTGGAAGGGAGGGTGCCTACCACAGTGAGGGCCGGTGGGTGATGGAGAGGAGGGCAATGCCAGCATCCTTGGCTGCCTGGAAGATCTTGCCTTCCACGTCGATGCTCACGGCGCTGGTACACTCATCCAACAGGGCATATTTGGGCCTTGGGAGTTGCAGACCAAGCAAGAGCGTCTGTGGATCCTCCATTGCCTGACACCTTAGGCCAGCCCTGCAGGGTTCCTGGGCTGCTCCTTGTGGCCCGTGGCCCTGCTGTGCTGTGCCCAGGCCTCCTTAGTGTAGCTGTTTTCCTCCTCCAGGGGACCCCAGCCCAGGGAGCCCACCTGCTTAAGCAGGCTCCTCCACTCCCACACTGAACCAGTACCTGTTGGCTCTAGAGGGCTCACCTGTGGTAGAACATGCGGGCCATGCCAATTCTCTGCTTCTCACCCCCTGAGAGGACGTCCTTCCAATCACACATGGCTTCCCAACCTGGGCAGAAGACAAGGGCTCTTCTCAATTCAACTATAGGGCTGAGGCTGTAGGGGGGACAATCCTGGGGGGTGGGGGGAGGGATGGCCTGTGCCTCAGAGTAGCTGGGGAAATAAGTCAGAAGGCTTGATGGCACACATCTGACTCCACAGGAGCCTGTCTGGCCACGTCCTTAGACTCTGTGTCCTTGTCTATGATACTTTTTTTTTTTTTTAAGAGTCAGGGTTCTGGCTTGGTGCCTGTAGCTCAGCGGCTAGGGAGCCAGCCACAAACACTGGAGCTGGCGGGTTCGAATCCAGCCTGGGCCTGCCAAACAAGAACAACTACAACAACAACAACAACAACAAAAAAAATAGCTGAGCATTATGATGGGCACCTGTAGTCCCAGCTACTTGGTAGGCTGAGGCAAGAGACTCGCTTAAGCCTAAGAGTTTGAGGATGCTGTGAGCTGTGATGCCATGGCACTCTACCTAGGGTGACAGCTTGAGAGTCTGTTTCAAAAAAAAAAAAAAGAGTCAGGGTCTAAAGGCTGGGTGAGGTGGCTCATGCTTGTAATCCTAGCACTCCGGGAGGCTTAGCCAGGTGGATTGCCTGAGCTCAGGAGTGCAAGACCAGTCTGAACCAGAGGGAAAAATAGCTGGGTGTTGTGG